ATGACATCATATGACTTGTGATGTAATGATACGACTTATCAGGGTATGTTTGGGGGTCAAATCATGGGAAGCTGGAGCCAATACAATTACAGACCTATATTCATGATACCATGTATAGATTGGGGATGAACAACAATGTCCATGTTCTACAATGTCTTCATTTCAGCAATCACAAGTTACTCCAAAACATTTGGCTGGCTTGAAGGGAAAATAACATGGTTCAGGGCATGAGATGGCAGACTCAGAACCTGTGGAAAATCTAGACTTGCTTCACTTAGGGCTATAGCATTACAGTAAGGGCTGGCTGGAAGGGAAGATAACATGGTTGAGGGACTGTGAGATGGGAGACTCAGAACCTGAGGAAAATCTAGACTTGCTTCACTTAGGGCTATAGCATTACAGTAAGGGCTGGCTGGAAGGGAAAATAACATGGTTGAGGGACTGTGAGATGGGAGACTCAGAACCTGAGGAAAATCTAGACTTGCTTCACTTAGAGCTATAGCATTACAGTAAGGGCTGGCTGAAAGGGAAGATAACATGGTTCAGGGACTGTGAGATGGGAGACTCAGAACCTGAGGAAAATCTAGACTTGCTTCACTTAGGGCTATAGCATTACAGTAAGGGCTGGCTGGAAGGGAAAATAACATGGTTGAGGGACTGTGAGATGGGAGACTCAGAACCTGAGGAAAATCTAGACTTGCTTCACTTAGAGCTATAGCATTACAGTAAGGGCTGGCTGAAAGGGAAGATAACATGGTTCAGGGACTGTGAGATGGGAGACTCAGAACCTGAGGAAAATCTAGACTTGCTTCACTTAGGGCTATAGCATTACAGTAAGGGCTGGCTGGAAGGGAAAATAACATGGTTGAGGGACTGTGAGATGGGAGACTCAGAACCTGAGGAAAATCTAGACTTGCTTCACTTAGGGCTATAGCATTACAGTAAGGGCTGGCTGAAAGGGAAGATAACATGGTTCAGGGACTGTGAGATGGGAGACTCAGAACCTGAGGAAAATCTAGACTTGCTTCACTTAGAGCTATAGCATTACAGTAAGGGCTGGCTGGAAGGGAAAATAACATGGTTGAGGGACTGTGAGATGGGAGACTCAGAACCTGTGGAAAATCTAGACTTGCTTCACTTAGAGCTATAGCATTACAGTAAGGGCTGGCTGAAAGGGAAGATAACATGGTTGAGGGACTGTGAGATGGGAGACTCAGAACCTGTGGAAAATCTAGACTTGCTTCACTTAGGGCTACAACATTAGAGAAAGGGCTGGCTGGAAGGGAAAGCAATATGGTTCAGGGTCTGTGAGGTAGAGAAGGTAAAACTTAGAAGGGTGCTTTGTCTGAGGCCAACTGACAAACAGGAAATCAATTTGTATCAGCCTTAGAAATGTTTTCCCCATCAATTCCCATTTTGGATTATTCCTAGTTTCATGAGTTGATGGCGCTGTGAAGTCACAGGTACCCAAGCTGTTTGTCTGTGACGATTTAACAGTCATGAGGGGCCAGTGGAAGCCATTATTGGTAATGATAGGGATTGGTTCCCCTGTGATAGGAAGAAATTATGAAAGAGTGTTATTATCAATTTTGAAATATTGTCATTTGTGGCAATTGTTAGCGGATGTGACTGCCATGAATATTTTACATCTGTCTGATTGGCTGATCAGTATTGATGGCTGTGTGGATGTATTGCGATGGCTAGACAGGATGGGGTCAGAGGTCAGTTTCAAAGGGCACAAGGTCATGTTTCTTTTCATTTCCTTTTATTGGTTGTAAAACCTATATTGGCAGAGCTGGAAAAAATCCTTTTGTCTGCTCTCCGATTAACTTTTTAAAGGGATAGGGTAGTATGATATTGGCATCTTTCCTGAAGTTTCAAGTATTTCCCTTTCTGAAGCTAGAAATTTCAGCATTGTTTGTCTGAGGTGTATTTTGTTTCTTTTTTTACATATGTCAGTGGAAATGGAGTGAGTGAGTGAGTGATTGATTTGGGTTTACGACTGCTTTGATCAGCGTTCAAGTTACATCATGGCATGTCAGCTGAATGTGGGAGGACAGAAACAAGTGATGCAGGTCTCAGATGTTTATCACGTTAGGGTATGGTGATGACAAACCTAGAAACATAATTGAAGTGAGCCGGGATTCAAACGCACAATCATAGGTTTCCCCCTCAGTGGAAATAAAGGAATATTGAAAAAACATAAGTGGAATGTGGGGTAGCCAGGTGGTTAAAGCGTTGGCTTATCACGCCAAAGACCTAGGTTTGCTTTCCCACATGGTACAACACCATTGTTAATGTCCCCGCAAAGGCATTGTGGGAACAGTGTTAAAAGTGCCATAAAACAAAACTTGCTCACAAGTATATCATGAAACATGATTTGTTATTTCTTCCATCTCGTGTTGAATCTTTTTTTGATAACACAGTACCTGATAAACTATATTCTTATTAATTGCTCGGCTACTATTGGCACCCTCTGACTAACTACTACACCTAGCTGTATGTAATCTCTATAAGCACCTCTCACTAAACTCGAAAGGTTACATACTGGTCCATATTTTATTTGTATAAAAACACAGCAGTATGGAAGGGTTATATATTTGTTTTGTTTCTACAGAAAACTATGTTCATAACAAACAAGTTTATAACAAACTGACGGATATAACAGACTGGGTTTTTTGGTCCCAACCATTTGCTGTATATATGATGTATACATGCTTATAATGAACTATGGTTATTGCGAACTAGAATTAGTGGTCCCTTTGAGTTCGTTATGACCGTAGTTTACTGTATGTGGCTTTCATCAGAGTCAGAACCAAGTTTGTTTTCCTCCGCTTAACAAACAAATTATCTTTTTTTGTATGTTTTTTATAAGCACTACCCATGTCGATTTTCTGAGCTCCCAGGACACTTTTGGTATGGACTTAGGATGTTTTGTCACCTGAAGTGAAAGAATAGCGCACAGTTATTCTACTTCAGTATCACTTCACTCACCAGCTCTACTCCAAGTCAATAAGTAAAAAGTCAATTATTATTTAGAGAAAATCGAATCATCACTGCCCCTTTAAAAGACACCCTGGATCACGATTGAAGCTGAACTCATCACTGATGCAGAAGCTGGGAGTCAGTGTCTGATTGGTCAGTCCCCAGCGAGTCTTCAAGACAGGTGATGCCACAGTCCAAAATGTGTAGAGATGTACATGTGAATTATATATTATATCTGTGGAGTATATTGTTATATGTAAAGATCGTGGAGTTTATGAAGAACGATAAACCTTGAACATTTGAAAACTTGTGATCGGAAATAGTAACATGCCTAAAATTATTTAATAATAACAACATTGGTGTATAATAACTTTATTGATCATTTATAACAATAATGGCTGTAGTCGTGGCAACTTCCAAACTTTCGGGAAGTTGTAATCTATCGGACTTTCATTCAGATGATGTTTCTTACAGATCACGATCTGAAAAATACAATCATGAAAGTGTATCTCATACATAAGCCGACTCCTTTCTACAGAATCTTTTTCTGGTCCTCAAAATTTGGCTTATCTACGGACATATACAGTATTGCCGGCCTTGCTTCTCTTTGTTCTACAGGCGGATGTAGAAGTATCTCAACTTTGAGTGATTTGATTTTAAGGCTATCACTATTTGATTCCTAAGTTAAAAAGTTTGAGTCGTTAAAGGAGTAATTGTGTTTCATGAAGCTGTGATGTCTATAAAGCAGGAAAGTTACAGGGCAGGAGGTTAGTACAGTGGTTAGAGGTTTGACCAGTCAGTCAGGGTTCGATACCCCTCAGAGTGCAATGTGTTTCCCCCTGCCATTATGGCTGCACTAATGGTTATTGACAACATCTACTTTTTTGTAACGACATTTCAGGGCTACTTCATCTGATGAAGTAGCAAAAAGTACCGCTGAATCATCATTACGAACAAAAAAGAAGTTGTTATCCATAAAAATTTCATGTCTTCATGTTTTTCCAACTTCTAAATGCCTATCAAAGACTTCATAATGTTTAAGCTACTCGTTTCTTGTAGATTTTAAGTGTTCAACAGACTGGGTTCAAAACCATCTCATTTAGTGTAGAAAGCTTAGGGGACCGCAGTGGGCTTGTTATATCAGGCGCTGGCATTTTTGAGTGTACCTGGTAAAAGGGAGGTAACTCTATTTGAATATATGCTCATCAAATAAAATCTTGTAGAGATTGTATGTTTGCTTCACTGGCATGTATTACCTTGAATGACAGGACTGATGGTTGCCACATACTTTCATTCCAATTGGCAAATATATTATTATGCCCCACCACGAAGTGGGGCGGGGGTGATAAGAATGGAATTCATCCATCCGTCCGTCCGCTTATTAATGGGGACAAATTTTCTCAAAAGCTGATTAAGTTTGAGAAATACAATTTTACACACTCATATTCCTGGTAACGATCTTAAATAATTTCATTACTTGGTGTCTTAAATTTATTTTTTACAACCCATGCCTGCCGTGAGAGGCAACTATACTTGTAAGATGCGACTAACAGGATCGGATGGTCAGGCTTGCTGACTTGGTTGATGCAAGTCATCATATCTCAATTCAGTGGATCAATGCTCATGATGTCAATCACTGGATTGTCTGGTCCAGACTCGATTATTTACAGACCGCTGTCATATAGCTGAAAAATATTGCTGAGCGTTGCATTAAACAACAAACAAACGAACAAACAAAACATGTGCTTCAGTGTGGGGCAGGATTGAAGCCCTAGAAACACACACACACACACACACACACACACACACACACACACACACACACACACACACACACACACACACACACACAAACACACACACACACAGAGTGTATAGTGACGGATATTGTGTGCACCGGTTAACCCTGAAACATATTTATCCCGCAGTGATTGATTGATTCACTTGTCATGGATCAGCTTCAAGTTGTCAACAGGAGAATGAAAAAAGCTGAGAATAAGTAAACAACTCTGCAGTTCTATAAAAATCAGTCAACGTTTATTGCCACACATCCTGTTAAGTTATCAGACATACATGAGCGACATATATATTTCTGTATTACATAATCTGTACACATCTAGTCTTGGCTATCACAATCCCACTAGATAATAGTTAAGCATGCACATGTGGTGTCTCCAGGAGAGACATTTGTAGGAGATTGGTTTACACCTTGCGGCAACCATAACGAACTGAAAGTTGAAAAAAAAAGACTATGCACACAGAGGTGGATCCAGGATTTTGAACAGGGTGTGCACATAATGCATAACTTACCACTGGACATGGTGAAGGGCGAAGGGCGAAGGGCGAGGGGTGCACTTCACAAGTAAGGGTGTATGGAAGGGGGGGGGGGGGGGGGGGAGTAGCGTCAACTGCATGACTTTCTTAACTGACATTGCACACATGACAGAATTCAGATAATATTTTGAAGAACAAGTAAAAATTATAAATAAGTATCTTTTTTATAATTATTTATTTTCCATCCTAACAACCAGGATTTGTCAGAGCATAATCCGTAAGAGTAAGAAAGTTTGGCTTGCACTTCAATGTAATGATTTTTTAAAAAGTTTTAAGTAAACATTTTGTGGCCCTATACGAGCAGGTGGTTGTGTCTAATAGTCTGAAGTTGTCATTTGACATATCAGATTTTTGCATCAACATAGTGACTATAATTTGCAGTTTTTACTGGACATGAGGATTGTTTATTTATTAGACACTGGCTTGAGACTATTAAATCAAGTCACTTTGTGACTTTGGTATTATGTGCAAGAGGCTCAGTATATGCTTGACTACGGTATAAGGATCTATACCGAAACATTGCATCATAATAGAATGAAGAAGTTGTCGTCCATAAAATATTTTGTCTTCGCTGGTATATAAAAGTAACTATTTGAACATGTTACTCCGATGGCTATAGTAGTATGTATATAAAAATGCTTTCAAATGTACAAAATCGGATCTGCTGTAGAGACTTTAACAGGTTTCGTATATGACCGTACATTTTCTTTCTGGAAGCGGTAATTTGTGGTGAAAGAAAATCGGCAATAAGTTTGTGCAGTTATAATCTAAAACAACTGCCCATGGTTATACAAGGTAGCTTACAAATGTACATGTATCTTTTAAAGGGGAGAAGAGCAGATTCCATGACAAGCTGATTATTATATAACTAAGCAAGTGTGTAGGCTAATATACAAAACTACATGTAGAGAATTCAAACTTTCCTCCCTTTGAGGGGAGACAACTCTAAGAACATTATAAAAACCCTGTAGTTTTAGCCCATGAACTCACCATGTCAAGTTCATACCAAGCACCCTCCTGAGAATTTTTTTTTTTCAAATAGTTCTCTATAATATTTGCAGCAGCCCACTAATTTGGCATTCAATTATCTGGAGTAAAATCTTTGTTAATTGTATCCTTTCTATTGGGAATATAATCACTATTTCCTTGGGTATATGGATTTATGGATTGAGAAAATGGTGTTTGAAAGAAATGATATCTTAAAATCAAACTTGTCATAATGGTGTGATTTGCCTCACATCTGGATTGTGAATGATGAAGACATCCTAACAACAACCTTGTATCAATCACCTTGCATGGCTCATTGTCCCTTGACGTGTTTTCACTCAATCTTACTAAACTGGAATTCAATATCACCTCCTCTTACTTAAATTCTGACAATTGAAAAGATTGATGAAATAAGAGTTGAAATCATATCTGTAAATTATTTGCCAGACTGTTGAAAGAAGAAAGGGACAATCTGATGATCAAATAAAACATGTGTACATATTTTAATGGATTATGCATTCATATGAACAGTTTTCTACTTTTCTACTACTAGATATTAAATGTCAGTTTGGAGTGAGATTCATAGGGAGTAGGGGTGGGGGTTTTAGGAGGGGGAGGTGAAATAATCTGTATCAAATCATTCCTCATTATATTTCAGTAGATATGTGTAATATAACTTTAACTGGTGACTTAAAGCATTATACATGATTTGATATATCACTAAACACTATTATAACACCATGGTCTCTGATAATAGGTAATATTATTGATAGTTACAAGAAAATAATGTGAAATGAAATGTTGTTTAATTAATATATATTATTGATAACTTGTCTTATAAAACCTTTAGAGGTAATCTCAGTGTAAAGAAACCTGGATCATGATTTGTATTGCAATGTGCAAGAAATCAGCCATGACACATCATTGCTCCAGCTGGGTCTACCTGATCTGTACATGCATCCTGATGTGCCTGCAATATGTCACACTTGGAACAATGATGCCATCAATGTGAGTTCACATGGAGTTTGACCTGTGCCTCAGCACATGAGGAGAGCTAGCACAGAAGCAAGGACAGTGATGAAGGAGAGGCCTGCGAGACCAGCACCACTGCCCTGGGATTTGGACTCCACAGAATGACCACGATGGCTGTTGTTTTCAGGAATGTTGTAACTTGGCGGATTTGGTCCGCCGTTTGTAGCCACAAACACCTGCTGCACGCTCAGCTTGAAGCTTCTCTCAATAAGGCGTCCATTGAGTGGTTGAATTGGACGGAAATTGTCCGCCAGTTCTTCCTGGATGTATTCTTGGATCTCTGCCATGTGTTCCTCATGGGCCTGTTTGTCTTCTGCTTCCTTCTCCATGACATGCCTGACCATGTTGTCCTGGGCTCGCTTGGCCGAGTCCTCATCCAGTTCTGCTGCCGACTCTGTTGGAGAGGGTTCTGTTGTAGCATCTACCAGGGCTGCTGCTGTCATCTCATCCACCGGTGCCTTGGTTGATGCTGCAAGTTTTACTGCCATGTCAGCCTTAAGTTCATCCTCTGCCATGTGGTTTCCATGGATACCAAGTTCATCAAGAACTGTTTCAGCGTTCTTTTCAGCACTGGAACGTTTGATGTGCCTTCTTTGGTGTTTGTGCTTATGAGCATGTTTTTTGTGCTTGGGCTTCAGGACTTTGCGGAACTTCAGAAGCTGAAATTGTAACAAATGCCATAGTGTTATGGAGGTCTAATACTCTGAGTGCTGAAGTCCATCTCTATAAGTGAATGGCGTCTATGTACTTTCAGCCAAGAAGCTATCATCGATCTTCATGAAGACATTTTGAGAGGATAGGACCCCCATGATGTTATGGCTCCAGTGTTTGTGTTGCACCCTTTTATAGCTAAAATGGATAGAATTATCATTAAACCACCCGCATGTTATCAGAAAGGAGCTGGCCACTGTAACTTGATAATGCCCTCATATTGTTTGACGACAGTCCATTATAACACCCGTTGTTAGGTGACGTCATGGGGATAGGGAAAGGTGACGTCACGTTCAATAGTGACGTCATCTGGTTTGTTCTATGACGTTTCCATATTTGTACAAGTTGGTCTGTGAAGTTTGAGTTGATTGCAGTAAATGTTTCAAAACCGATATTGTTGTTAATATTATTTGATAACAAATTCTATCCATTTTAGCTATAATAATGGTAACGCTATTTTTCAGGGCATTATCTTTTCAATCTTTTCAACTGCCGTCCTTCGTTACGGCTCCAGTGTTTGTGTTGCACCCTATAGGGGGACCATGCCCCCATGTTCTGGCTTGGTTTGGAGACTGTCATTAGTTTAGGTGTGAATAAGTAAGATGGGAAGAATACATCCGAAAATGATAAATATGAATTGTAGGTATCATGCATTGACTTTTGGATGAGAGATCATCAAACATACCAGAAAACAGAAAAAAACTGGTGTGTCAAGCTAAAGAAATGTATCAAATGAAATGTAATTCTTTGATCTCATAATAAATAAGGAGTCAAAATGTGTCACTTTTCTGTTCTGAGAATAGTAAAAAAAGAAAAACTACCATTGTTACCAAGGACCAAATCAAGATATATCGCTATCATGTAATTTGTCTTTCTGACAAGTGGAAAGCATACAAACCTGGTCCAGTGAGATCTTTTGGCGCTGTCTGAAGACCGTCCACATGACACTCTCAAAGCACCCGGGCGTGGTCAGGGACCCATTGTAGCGGAAGTATTGTGCCGTATCCGCTGGCAACAGATCACGGAGTGCGATCGCTTTTATTTCCACAAGATTATCATCATCTGGAATCAGAGAAATTGAATTAAAGACGATAAAGATACAAATATAATTTGAAAAAAACAAAATGCAGATTTAGCTTTAGGCCAGGAAAACAATATTTTTCCCATTTCAGTCCCAAAATAGGGTAAGCAGGTTTTGTTTTGTTTATTTTATGTCTATGTATAATTTGCTTTAAATGACTGGTGTCTCCGAAGCCAAACAAATTTATATGTGCTGCTAAAAGACAAACATGTTGTGCAACTTGAGAAGAACAAGAAAGAAAGGCTTAAATTCAGGGTTTCCAGATGAGGTCGGAAAGACAAATATTTTGTTGGTGTGTGGCAGGTGGGGTCACAGGGTGGGGGGACAGGGGTGTCGGGGGAGGGGGATCAAAGTGTTTTTACTATTTCCATGTTTAACTCAAGATTGTTTCAGATTGAATGTTTGTTTGTTCATTTGTTCATTTCTGCCAAAGATACCTTGTCATCATCTTGATTGTTATTACTGTATCCTGAGTCAGGGATAGTGCCTTATATTGGAGGGCCCCTATTGTGAATACTTAATCATTTCTTGGTTTGATTAATACTGCCATTAATGTATGGTAGCAAACACTTGTGAGTGTGAGTTGACAAATGAGTTGGTCCAACAGTTGTTCAGTTATAATACAGCTCACTAGTTGTGACAGACAAGGCCAAAATGACAAGGTCCTACATGTTGATCAAGTTGGGGAAACAACATGGCATGAGCTTGGTGCAGACAAACCAAGGCATATAATCAGGGCAAATCTGGGATTCAAGCCTGACATCAGTAGATCCTGGCATGGAAACAATTAATATGTAATCAGCTAATGTTATAGGACTTACAGTCCTGAGCCTGGTCTGGTCACTTATACAGAATGGCCCTTACTGTGTATCATAAAGTACCACAGTGAACAGGGATAACTCTAGGTAGGGGCCTTGTGCTTTTAGCCCCTAAATTTAAAACAGGGCCACATTTCCAAATACAAGGGGCCATTTTAACATTGTGCAATATGGGCATACATCTGGAATATTTGAAACTTTTACCTAGAGGGCCAATGTGAGAAAATTCCTAGAGTGAACCCTGAGTGAATGAGTGAGAAATACTGAGTGCAATTAATCCGTACCTGGGTCCTTGACCTCCTCCATGGCTTCCAGAATGGGTTTAAGCACTTCATTGTCTTCATCAACAATCTGCAGATAGAGGGAGTGAATAAGTATTGATCATTTTGGAAGACAATCTAGTTGAATCGTGTATACCCCCTGTTCCACAGTCCTCTATCTGCCTCTGTTAGGGGTGTCCGAGATTATCCATATACTCTGAGATTGAACAGCAGAAACAGTTTCTTGCATATAACAAAAGCCGAGATATCAAGTTTGTGTATTTGTAAGGTGATGTATCCATGTTACACTGCGGCATGGTTTCTAGCTAGCACTATAAAACCTATTAGTTCGGACTAATACAAACAGCCACACAAACAACCGCTATATAAGTGAAATCATCTTGAATGCAATGTTACACCCCGTTTGACCTGACCATACAAGCTGGCTGTCAAGAACAGTTCTGGATATCAATCCGTTACTAGGGTCGTGGAAAAGACTGAGCAGACTGTTTACCTCAAAGAGTACCCCTAACACTGCCAGTCCCATGGGTTCGGAGACAGCCTCAGCGATGGTGCCGAACAGGTCGCTGTTGAAGTTCACTATGTGAAGCTGAAAATGAGAAGTATTTTTATGAGGAAACAATGAGAATCTGAGAATATGTCATTTAGAAACTGCTGGTAAGCCCCCCCAAGTAATTTGTGTGTGTTCAGATAACCAGGTGACCCATGCTCCATGACTGACGCCGGCTATGTGATGTAATTTGTTTGAGTGCAACAGCACAGGAACAAAAGGACAGTCATGGAGAGTCTAGGATTCAAACCCAATATCCTGGTGAACAACTAAGGGAGGCAACTGAGTGCACAGTGCCTCATGTGAGGTGTGCTACTACCTCCAGAGCATATGCCTGTCCCTGGATGTGGATGTGGTGCTACATTTTGTTTTGTTGATTGTACTCAGCAGTATTCCAGCTATATGACGGTGGTCTGTAAATAATCAAGTCTGGACCAGACAATCCAGTGATTGACATCATGAACATGGATCTATGCAATTGAGCTATGATGACATGCATCAATAAATTGATCCCATTAGCAGCCTCTCACGCCAACATGGAATCTACCCTGATCTTTATGTGTGTGTGTGTGTGTGTGTGTGTGTGTGTGTGTGTGTGTGTGTGTGTGTGTGTTGTGTTGTGTTGTGTGTGTTGTGTCTGTGTTGTGTCTGTGTGTGTTGTGTGTGTGTGTTGTGTGTTGTGTTGTGTGTGTGTGTGTGTTGTCAGGAAGGTGTGCTACCTCAAGCGGGTGTGCCTGCCCCTCGATGCGGTGCTCCGAGCCCTGGTGGTTCTTGTGCCCCCAGTGGAAGTGGAACTGCGCTGTCTTGTACACATATGGTAGACCTCCGTTGGTTACAAAGAAATCTCCCAATGTGTCTACTTGGACTGGTAAAAGAGCACAGGTGAAATTGAGAATATAGAAATCTTGGCAAATTTCATGGATGATGTGTGTACGTTGGGACAAGACATGACATGTGATCGTGTCCATTTAGTCTATGCTCAAATCTCCTCTCATCTATTCCAGCTTTCTTATTTAACTTAGTTTTAGTAGTATCCATAGTTCCCATCAACCCAAAGTCAGTCTTCATTTGTCTTTTCTTCCTTTGTATGTAATGTTTATACATTGGTACATTATAGCACTTTGAGCATGCTAAAACTGATGGGTTGTATTATTATATTATTACATATGGGATAAGATATGTGGGATAAGAACACCACATGGTACAGCAAAAGCCTGTAGATTCACAAAGTGCAAAATCATTCTGAAATCGTCGGAATTAACACATTTCCGGATTAACTCAGCCATGTGAGCATTCCCAGTGTCTGGATCAAAGATGATTCAGTGTACTTCCAGAAGAAGGATTATCAATGCTCCATCTGTTACCATCCTATTCTCTTGTGTAAACTCCTGATGTTTTAAACTATTTCATCTGAGTGTTGATCCTAAATGAACCATGGGCTAGCACATATGTATTGATTGATTGATCTATGATTGATCTATGATTGACATACAATCAAGTGACAAGTTCAAGTTGTTCTCATACATCCTTCCCTTGCATGAAAGTTATCAATGGGAAATCAAGTTTGTATCCAACATACTGCACATACAAATGATGAGTGAGTGAGTGAGTATGGTTTTACGCCGCTTTTAGCAATATTCCAGCAATATCATGGCGGGGGACACCAGAAATGGGCTCACATATTGTACCCATGTCAAGAATAGAACCTGGGTCTTCAGCGTGACGAGCGAACGCTTTAACCACTAGGCTACCCGACCGCCCCTACAAATTATGAATCCATCTGAAGGTGCATCTTGATTCAGTATCAGATGAACCGTATATGGCACCAGATTTTAGTTCATCACAAGTTCTTAAGATAAATGATGGGATCACATCTAAGGGAATCTGGAGCTTACCTGCATGTCCGTTGTTCTTGACAAACATTTGAGCATTGTCCTTGGGTGGGTCATACCAGATGGCGAATTCCCTGAGGTTTGGGTTGTACACGGTCTCCTCGGGGTTGATGTTGATGGGGGACTGGAGGTTGCCGGAGCAGGCTTCGGGGAACAGGTCATGCCAGTGTCCAGGACCTGGGGAGAGGGAACAGTGTGGTGTGGGCAGGGCACATGCTTATGTCTGCAGATCTTACTGTGAGGAAGCAGCAGCTTATTGGCTGAGTGAGGGAGTGAGTATGGTTTAATGCCGCTTTTAGCAATATTTCAGCAATATCACGGCGGGGGACACCAGAAATGGGCTTCACATATTGTACCCATGAATTGGGCATGTGTTGATGTGACCAAGATGAGGTGAGATGAAATGGGGTTTAATGTCGCGTCCAAGAATATATGGCGATGTGCATGCACATGTGTGTGTGTGTGGCTGCTTGTATTAGCCTGGACTGATTCCGATTTTTATAGTGCAAGCTCACTGAGATACCATGGTGCAGATTAACATGAATACCCCATTCAGACACATTATACTCCAACCCAACCAGTCCTATTTTAGCCCCTTAATGCCGAGTGCCAAGCAGGGTAACAACAAGTACCATCTTTTAACGTCTTTTGGTGTGACGCAGCCAGGGATTGAACCGGCGGACGCTCTACCACTAGACCATGGAGGCGGTCGATGTGACCGAAAACACAGGTTGATGTGAAGATCCGGGATAGAATAGGTCTTCAGCAACCCATACTTGCGCTAAAAGGCGACTATGCTTGTCGTAAAAGGCGACTAAAGGGATCAAGTGGTCAGGCTCGCTGACTTGGTTGATGCGTGTCAGCTATCCCAATTGCGTGGATCGATGCTCATGATGTCAACCACTGGATTGTCTGGTCCAGACTCGATTATTTACAGACTGCCGTCATATAGCTTGAATATTGCTGAGTGCGGCGTTAAACAACAAACAAACAAACAAACACAGGTTGATATTAGACAAGGCTTATGGAGTAGTATAGGAGGACACATGTTGATTGTTGGGAGGTATTGCAAGAGCACAGGAAAGAACATTGTTTGATCACAAAATGTATTTTGTCTTGAAACTAGTGAGTGAGTGAGTGAGTGAGTTGGGTTTAACGCCGCTTTTAACAGTATTCCAGTTATATCGCGGCGTGTCAGCTTAATGTGGGAGGAAAGCCCGAAGTGATGCAGGTCACAGACGTTTACCACTTCGGTGAAACCCAAGAGCACGGGTATGGTGCTGACAAACCTAGAAACATAATCGGGGCGAACTGGGATTCGAACCCACAATCATAGGTTTCTGGCGTGCCCAAGGGACGCAACCCTGCGCAGCGAATCGCGGCGCCTTAGACGACTGTGCCCCCTGTCTTGAAACTAACACAGATAAGACACCATATCCTGCACGTCTCCTTAACTCGGAAGTGCCTCATAGCTCTGTCTTCATCTCACCCATGGTAAATCCTTCATTCAAAACATTCCGTTTGAAACATAGTGGAGTTGAGACATTAAGAAAAACAACAAAGACATGCAAACTAGAAACATGAATCAATACACTTCACTTGCACATTTGACAACATACACTTGACGACATGAGCGACTCAAGCAAGATGTCTAGGGAGTTATAGAGAACTATTTTTTACCCTATATAACTGGATTTTCAATGTAGAGGTTTCAAACATAGATTTTAGACCTGTAAATTGATTTGAAACCAAACGCAATTGACAGCGTGAGGTTTCAAATTTGAAAAATTTACAGGTATCAAATTACAGTTTGAAACCTGTACATCGAAAACACTTGGTTTATCTCCAATCTGCCATGACACAATGACGAACCAAACACAGTCTCCTTGGTAATGGTGGGACCAATTAGTGATGTGGCATCGGTTGAGGCTAATATTAGTTAGGTTGAAAGGGCAAATTCAGGGATGAGTGAAGATCTCTTTTAATCTGCATATATGTTTGCTGTATGTATCCAAACCATGAAATCCCTAGAGAAAATGAATTGCCCTTGTATTGTAATATTTTGATCTGTAGTATACACCACTTCTTGGACAGCATAAAGCTCTACAGCTGGGAAGTCTAAGCCTTGTGACGTGGTAGACATGAGTCACAGTACGGGATAGGGTAGTGCCAAGAGACAAGTCATGTTGATGTTAGTAGGTTCTGCAATGCACTCTCTATAAAGGGGTATTTGTTCGCCCCGTTTTCCGTGTGAAATATATCTCCAACCTTACTGTAAATAATGTAGGAACTGCAACATGTTATTTAGCAACATTACTGAAGTAAGATCAGTGTATGAAATTGACAAACAGGTGGTTTTGCAAAAGAAGTGCCTCTAAATAAATATTTCCTTTCTTGGAAGTGTGGTCCACAGCAAAATCATTGTCTAATGTAGATTCAATATCGTTGGCAGATCAATCAGAATGTAGGATTCTAAAATGTCATGGTAGAATGTAGACAGTTTCAGCTGAAAGGACTTAAGACATATATCTAAACAAACAATTTGTACTCCACATTACCCTGTAAACTCTTGTCTTACCTTGTGTACCTCAAGTCATTCACTTTGAAGCAGGAATAACAATCAACAGGGCCACAGATTTTACTTTTAATGTTCATTTTTCATATAGGTCTGACAAGACATGTTTGTTGCAATATGTCTTTGACAAATGAACATGATATTGCATTTTTGTATACTGGTGTATGCTGAAAATTATCAAAATATTATTCTGGGTTATTTTATTATAAACATTATTTGTCAATCAGGAGCAAAATAATGCATTAGTATAAAGCTGAAAATTATCAAAATATCGTTCTGGATAATTTTGTAAAGAAACATTTTTTGTCAATCAGGGCAAATTATAGCATTGGTATATGCTGAAAATTATTAAAAAATCAGGGTAATTTTGTATAAAAAATTGTTTGTTTCAGCAAATTAAATTTGAAGGCTAAATCTAGAAATGTGATTTGGGATGAGGTACATGAAAGTGCAGTGTGACATGCTGTCCTGTCTGTCAGACACAAATAGCTGGGGTTTTGTTGTAAGGCAAGGAGCAATATTGACTCAAACTATCCACTCTGTGGGGTGTACACGGTGAAAGCCAACACGATGAAATAGATTCAGGTGTATACAGCATGGATTGAAATAAGATACTTTCATGAATAAGAGTTCACTGCTAGACTGACATTCGTGATGATACAAACAACAACAAGGAGATTGGAAGAGATATTTACATGAATATAGGAAAATAAACTTGACATTATTGTTTGGTCATGGCTTTTATTGTCTTACCTTGAATCCTTGATACCTCTAATAAGCAGCATGGAATTTTATTGAAAGATAAATATGAATTATATATTTCATTTAGGAGATAGGGTATTATCTAAAATCATTGTGTTTTGTGATGTAATTAAAAAAATTGATCAACTGTAATTGTATATGGTAGCTTTTTGCTTATTGTAAAAGTTAACGAACTTGGAATAAAGAAGAGCTTTCCCTTTAAAAGAATGTTTTTTAATGTATGTAAGGCAGCAACAGATTGACGTTTGTTTGGATTTTATTTCACGCAAGTCAGGTATGAAAAATGGATTTTTGTAATTTGTAAATTGGACATCTTTTTTTCTTGTAAAGACTGAAAGATATATAGATTTTTATGTATCACATATCAACTATTGCTATTCAGCAAAACTTAATGAGCGGTTGATTTCCAGTAACAATATCGTCCAATTTCAGTCTTAATATTGTTGCTGACATGACAGTGGAACAGACCATGGTCCATGATGATTGCTGGATCCTTAAACTGAAGTCCTGGACATACATCTCTCACTCGTCTCAGTTTGTTCAGTTAAATATATCCCCTGTTGCAGCAGCTAAAACTTCCATTATCCTCAGGAGCTGGTTGTGAGAAACATACATCCTGTTGAACATGAACTAGTTAAGTTTTTGTCTTGTGGAAACAAATAAGGTGTGTTTTCTATTTATGGTTGTGTATTCACTAAAGCCTGAGTGATGTGAACTATATTTTGAACTTATTTTCTGCAAGACTGAACGACAGTCTTTGTGTTTGTGTCCTGCTGTCAAATAGCCTTTGAGCCTTACTCTAGGTAGGAGCCAGTCCACAAGGGCTGAAGTACATTCACGTGATAGACTGAAATCCTGTTATAGCAGAATATTCCAAATTTACTTACTTCTGAACAATTTAAGTAAGACATTCTTTACAAAGGAATGTTTGCCAACCCCCATTTGGGGATCTTTATAATTATAGAAATCACAAAACTTTTTCTATAAGTTGTCAGATATGTTTTTATGAATACTTTGTTCAAATTGTTCACCTGCAGGTGTTGGAAAGACATTTAGGCATGTCTGATTGTTTTACCATTACACAGGTGTTTTTGTGACATTACCAGCTGATTTCCTCAGGAGATGTAGATAAAGTCAGTTGAGACATGGAAGAAATTTCATCATGGGTCACAGACTTGTTCAAACCTGAGAGTTGGAATTTGGAAAAAAAAGCCATTTTGCTCATTTTAGCTATTATTCTGTACTTCATCATGTCGGAAGTCCAACAGATACCAGTGGAAGTAAGAAGACAGACTAGTTATCAGCCTTCGGAACATGTCTGATACGTTTCATACCCGTATTACAAAATAGTTCTATAAAATTTGGTATTTCCAGTGGCCCAAAATGGCCCTTATCGCACCGGGTCCTTGGACGTTTCCAGTGGGCCGAATTATTGGCTCTTATCCTACCTCATCTCGTATCATCCTTAAGTAAAATATATCCTGATCTTTTTTATTCATGCCATACGAGGTCACAGCGCTCTGTCCTCTTCTGAATTCCATGGGGCAATAATGATCATGATAAACTACCGGGTATGTCCCTGCTTCACCAGCGTTCTGTCCTCTTCTATATTCCATGGGGCAGTAATGATCATGATATAAGTTGTAGCAGGATCACTTGGGGTACATGGGGTCTTATGCATCCTGCGTTACGTTTTATACCATGACCCTGCTACAGTGAATTTATCTTACCGACATGTTTTGTTATGTCATTGTAAAAGAGTAATAACAAATTCAAAATTGATAGAAAACAACTGTTCGATTGAACTGAGGTTAACTTGTGCTTTGTCACATGAATTTCATTGACTTGGAAAAAGCTTGCAGCCTTATGTTTTGGAGTGGGATATAAGGGATTTATTCTGCTTCTCAGAAATTTATTTCCCTCCAAGGCGGGATACACAGTATTTTATCAAGATCACTTGGACCAATCAGGTCTCATCATTCTGACATGGAGGTAAGATAATAATCAGTATTCAGTGCTAAACATTTAATTTTTTTATAGGATCAAACTGTCATTTTAAAAAATAGGTTTGAAGTTGGTCAGGAGGAGGCTCGGTGTCCCAGTTGATTGTATCGGGGAGTCAGGTGTAAAAATGCTTTGACAGATCACGAGTGTTGGACCAGTCATGTTAGGACCGATGAGAGATGCACAGATCGGGTAACATACTTTGATGAAGAGATCGGGTAACGTACTCTGACACCGAGATCGGGTAACGTACCTGTGTCACCTTTGTAACTCCACTCTGAGCACCTTGTGAAATCTGTAACAAATAGATATAGAAATAAATATCAGCAATAAATACTTAATCAAAAGATGAAATGAGTGCATCAGTGAGTGAATTTTATGTCACTTTGATCAGCATTTCTATGGTTACATATGTCAGCTTAAAGTAGGAGGAGAGCCGGAAGTGATGCCGGCCATTGATTCCTCTCAAGTGGACCCGTGAAGATCCAGCGTAGAATAGGTCTTCAGCAACCCATGCTTGCTGTAAAAGGCGACTATGCTTGTCGTAAGAGGAAACTATCGGGATCGGGTGGTCATGCTCGCTGACTTGGTTGATGCATGTCATCGATTCCAACTGCATGGATCAATGCTCATGATATCAATCACTGGATTGTCTGGTCCCGACTTGATTATTTACAGACCGCCGTAATTATAGCTGGAATATTGCTGAGTGCGGCATTAAACAACAAAGCAACCAACCAACAAACTCTCCAGTGAATGCTCATGACACTATATAATTATTACCCCAGTCAATGGATCAGTGTGCAATCAATTTTCATTCTCAGCTCCCTGGGGAGGATTCAACTACAGTATACTCTGTCTAAACTGGCATCACATGGTACTGGGAAGAAATGCCAGTTTAGACAGGGAATGCCAATTGCCGATGAGAAACAAGACAATGTATTTCCATGTGTTCACATTACTACCATGTAACAACACATTGTGAAAAAGTCTGAGTTTACTCTGTAATTTCTTTGTGTTTCCAGCTAGAGCTGTTTTCTCAGTAACTACTTTCAGATCTTGAACATTTCCCAAAGTTTGGTCTCTTCTGTAGCTTTGCAATCTCATTAAAGTATGATCTTAGTTCGCCCTACCATAAACAAAGACCTGAGGACATCCCATTACAGGTCGTGTCAGAACTACCTTTCGTGAACTTCGACCAACCAATGAAATGACTAAGAAGAAGTTGACATTAGCCAATCAGAAACAGCTTTCTTGAGCTATACGGCACTGGTTTCAACTTGCAACAAGCACTATAGACTGTGTTAACTTCTGTTTTCTCTAAAACAAACCAGTAATATACACAACAAATATTCACTATGATGTAAATATTCAGTCTTAGTTGGGGGCGTTATAAAGATTACTTACTGACTGGCAAGGAAGTTGGTTAGGGGATTATTGGAACAGGGCACTTAATACAGCGAATATGGTAGTCACATTGGCACCCTGCTGGATTTGATAAGAGGTAAAATATCCCTTTTTTACAGAATGTACGTCACTACTTTGTTGGACTCCAAGTGTTATATGATATTTATGCAAATTGTGAAATAGGCGAGCGTCAGTGAAAATATTGTGTCTGAAATGCCTTTGAAAGGACTCCCTGTTTAATACTCCCTGTGTATCCGTCAAAGTTGTTTATTGACTGTCAAGGTGGAAAGCGCCATCTTATGGCATGATCAAATGTCACAAAGAATATGTTTGTTAGAGTTACGTTATGCAGGGCTATTTCTTCAGGTGACCTAGATGGAATAGATCATGTGAAGACAGCAGTAGATAATCAACAGCATTTTCATATACATGCAAACATTCTCTGATCCTCGAGACCATTACTGTTACATCTTCTTGGCACAAGACAAGCCCCATGAAGATCTGGGTTAGAATAGCTTTCAGCAAACCATGCTTGTCATGAGAGGGTGTCAGGCTCACTGACTTTATTGATGCATGTCACTGTATCCCAATTACGTAGATCAATACTCATACTAAGGCGTATGGTTCGTTGTGCAGAGTTGCGTCCCTTGGGCATGCCAAAGACTAATGATTGTGAGTTTGAATCCTAGATTCCCCCCGATTATGTTTCTAGGTTTGTCAGCACCATACTCGTGCTTGTGGGTTTCACCGAAGTGATAAACGTCTGAGACCTGCATTACTTCAGGCTTTCTTCCCGCATTTAGCTGACACGCCGTCATATAACTGGAATACTGTTAAGAGCGGCGTAAAACCCAACTCTCACTCACTCACTCACTCACTCACTCACTCAGTTGTCACCTAAGAGCGTGGGTTGCTTGACGAGTTTCTGAGTCCCACATGGAAGGAATTGCATAGTAATGACAACTTTTGTTTTGGCCATTACATGTCATGGAGGCATATCCACAATAACTTGTCAATTGAGCAAATTGTTTGCTTAGTCGAGTCAGTAAAGTATGCAGGGGTCTTTGTACTTTGGAAAAAGGACAAACTTGAGTAACGTGCATAATGAATGCAGTCAGAGAAATGTAAACATGTACCAGTGCAACATATTTTTTAAAAGTTCAAACTAATCGTTATGTATGCAAGCACCAAGTGCATGTTGCAAAAATTCCAATTATTGCCTGACTAACCCTTACTTCACTGCACAACAACCTTCTTTTGAACACTAAGATTTATGTACCATAACAAGCTCTGTGTTCTGTGTTATTGTTCATGCTTTCTTGGTCTTGGCGTCATCAAACTGTGGGTACTTCAAGATTATGTTTTACAGCAATATAATTTATATATTTACACTAGTTTAGGCATCTACCATGTCTACTTTGATAACTTTTTGGCAACAGGGCTTTGTCTGGTGCAACTTGGTTTTCCTGTCAACGTGCACCTGCTACACCTGGTGCATGTTAAATCAAGTTCCTTACATCGAGCCCTGTCTACTAAGCTCAGAAATTATAAGCCATGATATAGCATTGAAATCAACTGAAAAGTCTGGTACATGTTAAATCAAGTTCCTTACATCGAGCCCTGTCTACTAAGCTCAGAAATTATAAGCCATAATATAGCATTGAAATCAACTGAAAAGTCTGGTACATGTTAAATCAAGTTCCTTACATCAAGCCCTGTCTACTAAGCTCAGAAATTATAAGCCATAATATAGCATTAAAATCAACTGAAAAGTCTGGTACATGTTAAATCAAGTTCCTTACATCGAGCCCTGTCTACTAAGCTCAGAAATTATAAGCCATAATATAGCATTGAAATCAATTAAAAAGTCTGCAAAGAGGCATTGAGATACACCTCAAGTTCTTTTAAGGAAATATGGCGTCTAAGGCCTGGAGTCTATTTGTGAACACAGAGGACAAGCAGGTGACATTGACGCAGATATAAAACGCTATAACTGGACATGTATGGTTGTTGCCCGACATCTACAGGTCATGTCCTCTTCTTGTCGTTTGATGTAGTGGAAGGTGATGGAGATACATGCTCTGACAGCTCCCATGGTTTATGTGTGAAATAAACAGTATGTGGTTGAGGTTACAGGTGAGGTGTGGTGAAATGCGGTTTCCAAATTATTTCACTTTCATAGTGACATTCATGCGCGTGTGTATGGCCGTCTCTACTAGTTTCGGCAGATAATTGAGACTGATTATTATCTGACATTGACATTTTGTATTTATTATTCCCATCTCAGACACAGTACACTGACTCTAAGCTGACCAGTTCTTGTTTTATGCCCCTAATGCCGAGCTCCAGGCAGGGTAACAAGAAACGCCATCCTTTAACATCTTATGGTATGACGTGACCAGGGGATCCAAACATGGATCTTCCGCTCTCCTGGCAGACACTGAACCCACTACATCACAGTCCTGCAGGGTTAAGTTTTAGGAAGATCTGTAAGGTTTGACAGGAATGAAATTTGTTTTAATTCTTGCTGTTTCCTACAAGATGATTGAGATAAAAAATATTATCCATATTTCATAGATAATGTGGCTAAAACTTTATTAGAAGATTACATGGTTGTCTGTCTCACAATCCCTGAAACATATTATTTTCATGTTACACCATAGCCTTACATGAAGCAAGTCTAGATTTTCAACAGTTTCTGAATCTTCCATTTCACTTGACAGTAAGCCTGGATGTAAGCGTTAGTGAAAAGCAAATAATTTTAAACAGAATGTGATACTTAATATGTCTGAGACAACATTCCAGTAAAGATCCTTCCCAATGGAGAACTATTTTCAACATCAAAGCAGTTTGTTAGAAGTGCTGTGGGTATTTATACTTGTATCCTTGTCACATGAAATGACACAGTGCAAACAGACTCAAAGTGAGCAATTATGTTTTCAAAGTCCGACAGACAAAGCTGTAAATTAATTCTCGACTGTGTTCAAGTAATTTTGATGATAGTGATAACCCGAGGTGGTTATGAATATGATCAGAATGTCCAGCCCATCTTGTTCTGATTTGTTGAGGTCAAGGTCATTACAAGGTCAGTGATATGTGATTTTACTTGAATGGAAACCTGTTCTGAATTCCATGGTTTATGGATCCTTTCTCATTGTTAATCCCTTTATTTAAAAAACAATCAGCCATCCGTTTTCCGTTTTTTCCATTCCCAGAGCAGAACTCCTACACCATTGATTGTTTTCTGTTGAAAAGTGGTATACAGATTTGTCTGTTAGGGAACTGGTGCCTTTTGATGATTTGGGATTTGTATTTTATTCTTTTGCATGACGACAAGATGGAGTTGTACTGAAAACAAGGGTAGTGCTCATTTCCGGAGCAGAACACCAGAACCATTGAATATTTCTTGATGTAACTTGCTGTACAGATCAGTCTGGTTGTGAACTGGTGCCTTTTGATGATTTGGGACTTTAGTTTTTATGACGACAAGTTGAACTTTACCGTAAATTAGGGTAGTGCTCATTTCCCGGAGCAGGGAACTGGTCCCTTTTGATGATTTGGGATGTTGACTGAACAACATTATTAACAGCATATCCAATGGCAATGAACCAAAAATGGGGTATAAGTAGCCAAACTCCATTTCTGAGTTGCACCAGAACTGGGGAATATGTCATCTCCTGATGACTTGATCTCGTTCCATTTATCCATTAGTGACTAGGTCTTGTTTTTGTTATTGAATGAGTAAGCGTGTGAGTTTGATTTAGCAAAAACTTGAACAATACTTCCATTATATTATGACATGTAAGCTTGATGTAGGAGGATATCTTGAAGTGATGCAGGTCTTAGATATTTACCATTTTTGTGAAAACTACGAAAACAGTTATTGTG